TCGCACCCAATTTCTATGCTTTTAATACGTCAGTAAACATACGGCCATTTATTAATAAAGTAGCATAGCAAACTCACTAGTCGATGGTAATTATATTCTGGCTTTTGACTCGTAAATCAATGAAACAAATATGATTAGTGTGTTTGATGTTATTGCATATGTTGTTGTTTCAGGTTATTAGGGTTCCTAACCGTGATTATAACTCCATATTTGAATATTCGTCGGATGCTCGTAATTATTTCGACTTTTGAACTAGTTCAAGCAATAAAGAACAAGGGCATGTTGGAAAGTTTTTTTTAACATTTGCTATATGCCTGACCAATGTAATTGCTTAGCCATTTGGCAAATTCCTTTTCGATAATTGTTAGATATTCTGGTTAGATAATCTGATTGAAAAATTTAGCCAAGTTTTCCTTATTTGATCCACATATTTATATTAAAGGTCGGTCACTCGTAGCTTTTCTATAACGTCATTTATGCATCAATAGAACTTAATGAATTTTTTATTATTCTGTTTACAGTAACAAATTATATTTTCAAAGGTTTCCCTAGTTTAACTATCAGTTTGTAAAGTATCGTGGTGCAAAGTAAACAGTTTATGGTTTTGCAATTGAATGAATTAAATAAATTGAACAATCAAAAGCTCTATGTATTTGATGACGTCAGTTCATTTGATGACATTTAATATCAGCTGGCTTTAAATTCTTTTAAATATATTTCTCAGATTATCAAAGAATACTATTTAAAAGCACGAATTAATAATAATTTCATTAATTATTTTAAAAAAAGAATATTACATTTTTGAGGGGTTGGATGATGACAATGAGAAATTATCGTTAGCGTGTTGATGTGGTTGATGTAAAAGAACAAAAAAAAAACAGATGACATTGCGTTGCTTCATTTTAAACGAATTATTTTCAGAATGTGTAGCTTCTCATTGTATCTAAACATGAAATAAATCATAACATTTGTTTGTTTTTTGAGAGAGCAAAAGTGCAAAATAAAAAACTTTATTAAAATTATAAATTAATAATTTTATAATTTTAAATATTCTAATTCTATCAATTCGAGTTTTTGATATTCATTAAAGATAAAGCTCTTTTTAAAAAGTTTTTCCCCTGTTTTTAAATTTGGCCACCAGGAAAAAAGAAAAGCGAATTATTTAAATTACTTAAGAAAATAAATTATTAAGATTATGGTATCCTAATAGTTTTCTTTTTATTATAATTAAAAGGCAAACAGCTACCAAGTTAATTATTAGTAATGCTATCGCAGCCTCTTTTGAAACTATTGCTGCTGTTGCCGTCGCTGTTGTTAGAAGCTGAACAGCTATAAAAAGCAAATTGTTGTTCAAATTATCACCATTTATATTTTGGTGAGGTGTGTTGTTGTTGTTGTTGTTGTTGTTGTTGTTGTTGTTGTAGATGATATTTATCGGAATTCTTAAGTGAAAATTATCATGACCAGAGTAAGCTTCTGTAGGAATACTGGGTGTGTCCGGTTGTTCGTTAGAAGAAAAGTCACATTGATTATTTTGATAACTCATTGTTTTTTTCTATTGATTTATTAACAAATACGTGTATTAAGGCAATAACTGAAAAAAATAACTTATTTAATCAAAACAGGAAAGAGAAAAGATGAAATAGGAAAGAAAATAATTTATTTGAGAAAGAGAAATTATGAAAGAATATTTACTTATGAAAGAGTAAGGTTTAAATAGGAAGAAAAATAATTTATTCAAAATGAAAAACGAGAAAAATTATTTTTCGTCAATGCAAGATTGGATTTTTATAATTATACATTGATCACTACGGCACACCTAATGCGGACAAATTTCCTAAAGAGTAATTTTATAGTTGGACTGACTAAGTCCCATGTTTCCTTTTTTTTTTTTTTCTTGTTTTTGCTGC